TCCTTCCATTAATCTTTATTGAACACTTCGAACCACTAGCCACATTTACATATTCAATCTCTTACCCGATAACCAGTAGAATTCTTTATAGAAGATTCATCAACACCACGTGACCGCTAACCTGCTCACAAGAGATAACCCACCTGTGGAAATTACATGCCGACATCTTCCAATGCCACTGCACTTTGTACACTTACTACATAATCAGTAACCCATCCTGAGCCCGTGCTCATTCACCAGCTGTACAAGTCCGTTCACTCCTCATGGATATCAACTAAAAGGTGCGATAGTACATTCCCATTCAAAGTCATGTTGTAACCTTCTTCATATCAAGCAACTCCTTTCTGTTGTATCCAATCTCCCGCCGTATAATAGCCAATATTTCAAATTAAGTCCGTAGACCCAAATCACCATCCACCATAAATTCCCAAATCACTCTAAACTTTCCTCAAGACGTGTAGTTATCCTATTACATAATCCACATGCTACTCCACCACTCTCCCACTTTAGTCAAACTCACTCCTTTAAGTAACTACCCGACTCCTGTTTCTCATACTTGGCCTTCTATAAGTTTATCCACCGCAAGGCACCTCCCACATGTCCTTTCTCATCCTTCGCTGCCTAGTTGTTGCCTTAAATCAAAATCTATCTCTATAGCACTTGAACCGTTAGATCGCTACCAACTTTAAACCTTTTCAGAAATCATCTTTCTCGAGCCTCAATACCAGGAATGTCATTTCGATCCTGAACCTCTGTACACTGCGACCTCTAACAGTCATTTTCTCGGCACCATTTATAATACTCTGTCCCAAGGCGAATTGAAGGAAACCATAACACCGGCGAACTTAACACATTATAACCAATCAAGGACGATGACGCCACATCACAGGCGAAGATTCCACCATGCTCGAAAATATCGAGTCCCGCTACTCCATCAACCCTAGCCTGAACATTCTCAATTCGATTGCCTTTTCTCCGTCGGAAGTATAGTACTGAATCTTTAAATCAGGCACTGAGTAAACCTCCTTTCAAGTCATGCACTGCCCCGAGACATAGGCAAGCATCCTACCATCACAGCAATATTGTATGATAACAACTCATGGGCATCATAGCAACCTGTGCATAGCCTCAAAGCTCTCAGAAGTACAGCTACTAAGCTGAATTGACAGAATATCCTTCCACAAGGTGACGACAATAGCCCAATCAACTACGCAGGGAGAAACATCCCGCACCACATCTGTTGTACCATTACAATTCCTCAATTCCCGATTTATAACCAGCGATTCACGTTGCATAAGATTGAGTGGGAAAGAAATGAAGGCATAAGACTCAAAGGAATCAAATCGCACAATGAGGAATCAAGAAGGGAAGTGCTCCTAACAGTCCTGTAGCCTCTCGAAGATAAGTACAGATGTCTCCGTACTGATCCGCAAGACTCTACTAGATTCGCTCATGACTCGTGAGACCTAAGTGAACCTAGTACTCTGATACCATGTTGTCACGACCCAAAATCCATAAAGGTCGTGATGGCGCCGGACTCCACTGTCAGGCAAGCCAACAATAAATACTTAATTAAATCCTCATTTTAATATTTTTTGAAATCGTAAATTTACTTTAATTTATTTAGTAAAAGATGAATTTACATAATAAATAATAATATTTTCCAATTCCAATAGTGAACATCCTATAATCATCCCAGAACCCGGTGTCATAGGTGCATGAGCCTTTTCTAGAAATTTAAAATAAAATACAATAACTGTCCGGAATACAACTTGGACAGGAAAGAAAATACAATACTCTGAAGGAGACTTTGTTGGCTGCGGTGCGTCGTATAGAATGTAGCTCACTTAAGTCCCCGCCATAATCGCGCCTCTGCACCCACAAGTCCGCTAAACATATGTGTACCTGCACAAAAATATGCAGCAAGTGTAGCATGAGTACATAAATCAATGCGTACCCAGTAAGTATCCCGCCTAACCCCGAAGAAGTAGTGACAAGGGGTCGACTTCGACACTTACTAGTGGTCTAATAATATCAGGTACAGTAAAGAAATGAATGAATATGAGACAAACAAGTATATAATACGTAGTACAATTTTCCTCTTTACAATTTACTCAAGCTCTCAACAAGCAAGTCCCCTCCGTAACCGGAGCATATGTATAGATATAGTGGATTTCATCAAAGAGGTTGTCATAATCCAAATCAGGGAAAAACACTCGGATACATTGGCTTCTTGCCAAATGTTATGCACGATTCCATAAGGATAATATATATAGGAAATGCCGAGGCGTACGGCTCGATCCAACATAAAAGTAAATTGTGCACTGCCGAGGGTCGAACGACACGAACCATAGATGCATCTATTAACCTGCCGAGGCGAACGGCCCGCTCCCATGAGAGTGTGGTACATAAATCCTGCCGAGGCGAACAGCCCGATCCCATAAGAGTAATAGAAAATACCCCGCTCGCGAATCATACGTGTGATGCGGTCAAACAAAAATTTAAGGAATCACCCCGCTCACGGATCATACTTGCGACGCGATCAAATATAAATTTAACATTAAAATCATATCTCTTTCTTGATTCTTTTCAAAACAAGGAAAATTCAGTTTGTAGCTTTTTAAGAAAATTACCTCGCTCACGAAACACACATGCGACGTGGTTATACATAGATTTCTTAAGTTATTATGGTGTTCCTCAATTCTTTTCAAAAAATGAGAAGTTCAAATGAAAACCTTTAAGTTCCCAACTTTTCCTCATTTTCAACTCCCTTCGAAATATTTAATAAGGTAACTCAATCTCGCTTCCTTTCAAGGCAAACAATAAACATAAATTCAACAACAATAGCAACAAGACATGATGTAAGCCTAAACTACCCGAACATAGGCATAGTTAGCAGCTACGTACGGATTCTCGTCACATCGTGCGTACGTAGTCCCCACAAATTGAAGCACATAATAATTTATTTCACTTATGGGGTTAATTCCCTCTTACAAGGTTAGAAAGGAGACTTACCTCGCTCCGAAGTTCCATAACCGACTTCCGAGCCCTTCAAACAACTTGAATCGATGCACAACGTTCCAAAACTAGCCAATGATTATGCAAACCCGTTAATATATACTCAAATACTCAATATAATCCAATTTATAACAATTTCTAACCCCGATCGAAAAGTCGATAAAAATCACTCTCGGGCCCACGTGCCCGGATTCCAAAACGTTTTCGAAGATAAACTTTACCCATAACCTCACGAACTCAAATATATAGTTTATACTCAATTCCATGCCCAATTTCGTGGTCAAAATCCAAAAATACCAAATTCTAGGTCTTCTACCAAAATTCCCACAATTTATACTAATTTCCATGTTTAAATCCTTATACAAATCATAAATCCTTATACAAATCATGTATTTAACTTATAATAAGTAGAAATCACTTACCTTGGCATTGATGACGAAGAATGAGCTCTAAACTCGTTCCAAGACCAGCTCTCATGGAGAAAATGGGGTGAAAATGAGCCAAGCCCTCATTTTTAAAGAACACACTGCCCAGCCCCGACGTTCGCACCTGTGGTGCCTTGGCTGCATCTGCGGTCCCGCACCTGTGGAAATCCCATCACAGGTGCGGCTCCAGCTCGGCCCAACATTCTCGCATCTGCGCTACTCTCTTCGCACATGCGCCTTTGTAGGTGCGCAAATCTTTCCGCTCCTGCGGTTCTCAGCTGCCTGCCCCTTCCGCTTCTGCGATCCATTTTCCCGTACCTACGGGCTCGTACCTGCGGCCCTCTTCACGCAGGTGCGTTTATACCAGATGCTCAACTGCTTCAGCCCTTCTTCAAATTCCAAATTCGATCCGTTAACCACCTGAAATCCACCTGGGGCCCTCGGGACCTTAACCAATTATACCAACACGTCCCAAAACATATTACGAACTTAGTCGAGCCTTCAAATTACATCAAACAATGTTGAATTCATGAATCACACCCCATTCCAAGCTTAATGAACTTTAGAATTTCAAACTTCCTCATTCGATGCTGAAACCTATCAAATCACGCCCGGTTGCCCTCAAATTTTGCACACAAGTCACGTTTGATATTACGGACCTACTCCAACTTCCGGAATCGGATTCCGACCCCGATATCAAAAAGTCCACTTCCGGTCAAACTTGTCAAAAACCTTCAAATTTCTAACTTTAGCCAAATGACTCTAAAATGACCTACGGACCTCCGAATCCACTTCCGAACGTGCTCCCAACACCAGAATCACCAAACAGAGCCATTCCCGGACTCGAAATCCCAAACGGACATCGATAACATAAAATTCACCTCCACCCCAAATTCATGAAATTCTTCCAAAGTGCTAACTTCCACAATAGGTGTCGAAACGCTCCCGGATCATCAAAAATTCGATCCGGACATACGTCCAAGTCCAAAATCATCATGCGAACCTGCTGGAACCTTCAAATCCCGATTCCAAGGCAGTTTACTCTAAAATCCAATCTTAGTCAATTTTAGCTTTCGAAATGAGAATTTGCTTTCCAATTCAACTCCGAACTTCCTGAAATTTAATCCCGACCATGGGTACAAGTCATTATACCTGAAGTGAATCTGCTCATAGCCTCAAACTGCCGAACGACATGCTAGAGCTCAAAACGATCGGTCGGGTCGTTACATTTTCGTTCAGATTTATCTTTACATAAAAAGTGGCTAAATTTTGATTACTTTTGAAACTGTGGCTATTTTTCAATTATCACTTGTAAATCTGACTATTTTTGAATTTCACCCACAATTCGATCCACCTATTGGCAAGAAATAGCCCTAACTCTAAGTTATTGGTACAGTCCAACATTTTTAATAAAAAAGCAAATTATTGCATCAAAATATCATAATATAATTGAACAATAATCACTATTTAGTGCAGAAATAAAATTTAGATAAAAGCACCCTTAGCTGAAATACGGAAAAATACCAACATAATATGCTGAATTATGGAACTCCTGCGTAAAACTCCAACATATTATGTTAGAATTTTAGCAGATTATAAATTCCATCACATTATGTTGAAATTCATATGTAAAAATTCAAACTCCAACATATTACACTGAAATTTTACAAATATAATTTGCCTCCAATTCAAGAACTCAAATAATTGAAGCTGAAAAAAATTATTTTGCTAAATAAGTCTCACTATTCGTGGTATGATAAGTTCGTTAAGCATTTAATTTCCTAAATTATATAGTACTACTTAAACTTTTCAGTTGGTGTATCGAAGCTTCTTTTCTTGTGAAAGCAACTTAGCAAAACGGATTAGAGCTTCTTCATTTGTTCCTTCCCCTTGAACGGGTTCATATTGGCCTGTCTCTAAGTTGACCCTTGATACTGGCTTTTTCAATAGATTGTTACCAATCTGCACAAGTGTCTGCATATTTTTTGTGGTTGCTATATCCATTGATGTAGCATCCCCAATCAAATTATCCTCCTGTCCAAAATATAAAGGATATCTGATATTATTTTTATGTTATACACTTTTAGTTTTACAACTTTGCTGCAATAGCTCATTAGTTCAATGACTAGCAATGTCTTTATGTTAAATAATTAATGATCAAATTATAGAAAAAGTCTAGTCTTGATACCTGAATTCTGAGGTAATTCTTTTCACTGCGAAGTGTCTGAAACATAGTTGAAACATGTATATCTACCATATCAGCACTTGCATCATTATAAACATCCAATATTGGGGTCTGACCATTGTTGTAAACCCAACCAAGTAAACCCCATTTTGATGCCGAGGCTGCGTTATACCCTTGATGCTTGCCAATACCTGTGCCTAATGATAGAACCAACATCTTCTTGCTGTCTATTGTTTCCATCTCTTCATACTGAAATTTGCCCCTCATGATTTCTTTTGAAATGTGTGTAATTGCCATTTGTGTCTGCAAATAGAGTTAAAGAAAAGTGCAATTTTATTAGTATGGAAAACTGTCAATGACTCAAAACTTTTTCATAGTATTTGATGTATACTTCCTAGGGATGTACAAAAAAAAATGATAAATCGTACCAAACCAATAATTCGTGTCAAACCGGAAAAAAAAAACCTGATTGTGGTTTGGTTTGATTTGTTTTGGTATTGGAAAAAAAAAAAAAGACCATAATTGGTTTGGTTTTAACTAAACAAAAGTCAAACGAAACCAAACCAATCTGATAGTACATTTATACAACTTTTAAAAATATTTTATACATATAAATACTTATTGTAGTGTAATTTATAAATATTTCTTAAACTTTTTCACAGTTTTATCTTTTAACGTATTATTTCAAGTTTGGACTTAACATTCTTGGATGGTAAATAAATTTTATAGCTCATAAAGGTAGTAACTCAAACAAAGTTCAAATCCATACTAATGCTAACAAAACAAAAATTCAATTCAATACCAGGAATGACGATAGTGTTGGATATTGATGGTAGGCTAGAAACTCGTATTTTAGTCATAGTTTGCATGCTAATTACTATATTTTACTTGTGTTTGAGCTTAAATGATAATGAATTACACTTATTCTGTGTTTAATGCCTTGCAGGAAGTGATTCCGAATTAAAAAGATAATTTGGAGCTAATTCGAATAATGTGGAGCTTTGAAGTCTATGTAAAAGCCCAAGAAACTAAACTGGGATCACGTTCGGGGGTCGGTAGCCAGGTCTGGATGTCAAAAAGTGAAGAAAATGAATTACTTGGGATAACTAACACTGTCGCGCCGCGTAAATTGATGTTGCATGTCATAATCTGCTCTCTGAACTTCCCCACTACCACACCGCGTGGTGCGGCGCTAGGCACGACGCGCGTGTACAAAATTCTCAGAATATTTTTCCTGTTTCGGTTTGGAAAGGGTAGTTTCGTCTGGGTCCATTCCTATATGGTATAAATACACCAAAAATACGACTTTAGAGAATATTTTACCTTGAAAGCTTTTGGAGAGCATTGGAGGCTACAAGACACAAGATTTCGTCATCTTTCCATAAATTCAATACAGGAGTTTGGATTGTAACGTTTGATTAATGTTTTCTTACGCTTTAATTATATTTGTGATGACTTCCTCCATGATTATAGAGTAGTTTTCCTTAGGGTGTGACGAATATAGTGTTTTAATTGATATTTGTGGATTTTAACTCTAGTTCTTTGCTTGAATTCGTTTATGGAGCTTTGAATTGTTGCAACTTTATTCACCTGTTTATTTAATCAAAAGAGAAATATTGTGGTGATTATCTTCGCATTATTTTGTTTGGTTTAATTCAGCGATTCTCTTAAGTAATCGAAAGAGCTTGTTGAATTGGTGATTAAATCAAGTTAGGAGAATATTCGAGAGACGTTTTCCTTAAGATTAATCCATTAACGCATGCTTGCCTATTTTCATAGTGCTTATATTTGTTCACCTCGTAGAGTTAAGATTTAATCGAGAGAGGAGTCTTGGCTCCACGTTTGAACTAATCATCGAGTGAATTCGTGAGAATCATTAGAGCATTAGAATGAATTGAACTAGAGTTAGATCAAATATAGTTATCTTGCACCTATCCTGTCATGACCCTTATTTCTCCCATTGATTATTTTGGTGTTGCTCAACTCTTGTCTTTCTGTGATCAATTGTTACTTGTTTTAGTTTTCATAGTTAATTTTAGTTATAAGTCATCCCAATCAAAGTGTCAATCATCCTGAATAGTATTAAGCTAGAAATTACTTGAACATTGTTTAAATCCAACAAGTTAACTTCTCAGATGTATGACTCGATCTTTTTCCAAAGAATTGATTCCATACAATCCAGAGGTGGAAAAGTGTCTACGACAGTTGAGGAAAGAGAAAGAACTCACCGAAAAATTCTTGGGGCAATCTTCAACCCAAGAGAACATGGCAAAAAGCGGTGAGCATGTAGTTAATTTGGCTGTACAGGAAGCAGCCCAATAGGAAGCAGTCGCACGGGCAGTTGCTGAGGAAGCTCTCAGAGCTGATGAAATGGTTGACGACAACGGAGGATGAAGATTCAACCTGAATTGACCTCTGGATGAAGATGAATTTAGACGCTAAACAACTCAGTTGGAGGTCCTCTTATGAAGAAAACTCTTGAGGAGATTGTTGCAATTCTGAATGAATTATTTGAAGATGCAAATCAATGGCCTGCAGAGGATAACGAGAGAAGGAAAAAGGTTGGGGGTACAACAAGTGTATTCTAACACATCAGTGCAAGCCCAGCTAGACACAATGGCCACAAAGATAAGAAAGTTAACCTTAGCCAAGGCCCAGAGCCAGTCATCCTTGGTTTGTGATTTTTGTGGAATGGGTCATCGAACGCATGAGTGTCAGGCCTCGACTACAGATGAAGTGGTAAATATTGTGGGGAGCTTTGACAGAGGCAACTACCAAAGTGACAATAATTTTAACTCCATGGGGCATAGGCACCTAGGTTTTTCATGGAGTTCACTAGGTGGTAGTGCAAACGCATGGCAGTAGAATAACTCCAGACCCCAGGGACAGGGAGCTCTAGGTTTTCAAAATCACCAGAGGCAGCAATATCAGCCTCCACAGTCTAATTAGTCTAGCATGGAAGATATGATGAAGGCCTTAATTATTAAGACGTATGAGAGGCTTGAAACACATGGCACAACTATCCGAGATCAGGGCGCAGCTATCTCAGAATAGGGCACAACCATTCGAAACTTGGAAAGACAGGTGGGGCAACTTGCTAATCTATTGTATGAGAGGGTTTCAGGAACTCTCTCTGCTGATATTGAAAGAAATCCAAAAGAGACAATAAATGTAGTGTCTTTGAGGAGTGGGAACGTATTGGAGGATCCTAGGTCAAAGCAAAGAGATGAGTTGATTGAAAGATATGTAGAGATTGTGGAGGAGCAAAAAAATGGCAACATTCAAGAGGGTGAAGTGATGGTAGATGGTGGTCTGAAAAGGAAGGGGAAGACTAGAGCTCAGAATAAGAAGAAAGATGAGAATGCAATAAATGAGGAGACTGAAGAGAGTAAATATATGCCTCATTTACCTTTCCCTCATAAGAAGAGAAAAGAGAAGCTGGACAAATAATTTGGGCGCTTTCTAGAAGTGCTCAGGCAGGTGCATGCGAATATACCTTTCACAGAGGTGCTTTCACATATGCCAGTCGATGCTAAGTTCTTGAAGGAGATATTGTCCAACAAGAAGAAAGTAGAAGAGACATCAGTTGTCAGGCTCATAGAGCATTGTCGTGTCATTCTGCAAAATAAGCTCACTCAAAAGCGTGGAGATCCAGGGAGTTTTACTATACCTTGCTCGTTAGGAAGTACTAAGTTGAAAAATCTTTGTGTGATTCAAGTGCTTCTATTAATGTTATGCCTTTGTCTATTTTCAAGAAATTAGAGGGAGAGCTTGGAGAAATTAGGTCGATACCTGTGTCCTTGCAGCTGGCGGATCAGAACACAATCATACCTGAAGGAATAGTGGAAGATGTGCTAGTTCGGGTGGATAAGTTTGTATTCCCAGTGGACTTCATTGTAGTGAACGTGGAGGAGAATAGAGAGGTCCCTTTTAGGTAGACCCTTCTTGGCTACTGGCAGAGCGATTCTGGACATTCAAGAAAGGCAGCTCATGCTCAGAGTGGGGGAAGAAAGGGTGATCTTCAAGATGGAAGGAGCAATGGGGGCCCTAAAGAAGCGAACTAGAGAGAGTAAGCATGATAAGTGTGGGGTGTACCCAAAGAAGGAAGAAAAGAAGTTATCGTCATGGATGTGTGCACTGGTTTGGGCGTGCAAAGAAGATCCCGACTTCGATTCAGACCCCGACTAGATAAATCAGGAGAGTTTTCTTTACCTCTTGCTTTTTATTTGTGTGTCATAGAAATATGCCACAATTTAAAGTATGGGGTGTAGGATGTAAATATGTACATGTGTCTTTGTTTTATTGTGTTTTGTTTCCTTATGTTTTGTTTGAAGAAAGAAAAAATTGACTTTTCCCGATGATAGATTTCCTCGACCGTCTTCTTGAGGGATCAAAGATGAAGAAAAGAAATTTCGTTCATCTTTGTTTTTCTTTGTGCCGCAGTTCTTTTCCAAGGGTTTTGCTTGAACCAGGTGTAGTTAGTTTTTTTTGTTAGAAAATTTGAATTCTTGTGCTATGGTATTAAATGGAGATGACTTTTCTTGACTTTGTTATGCCTTGAGAGTAGTTAGTGTCTTAGTTGTGATACCTAGGCTCAGTTCTTGACTCATGTATAAGTGCCGTAAAATATTTGATTTTAATGTTGCTTAACTGCTTTGACAAGAGAGTCGGGATAGATCCGGTCCTAAGTGAGTTATGTGCCAACGTGTGTGTGAGATTTTTGTTGATATTCTGTGCATGTCAGTTGATGTCTAGAGCTTGCCCCGTGTATTTGCAAAGAGAAATAGCAGTCTTGTTCAGTCTAAAAAGTGCTATAGATATTTTTTTGTTGAGCCAATTATATGTTATGACCCGCCTAATTGTTGTGTATCTTAATTAGCCCCGTTGAGCATGTAATCCTATTTCTTTGGCAACCACACTACAAGCCCGATCCCTGTTTGTTTGAATTGACTATCTATTTGAACCTTTACCTCTCATGAGCACTTGAAATTATTATGAGCTTTTAAAAGCTAAGTTGAGGTATTATCGGGTTTTTGAGTGAACTATTGAAAAAGGAGAAAGGTGCATTGTTTGAAAAATTGTAAGAGCCACTTGTAGAGAATTGAAGGAAAAAAAGTAGTTTGCTTGAAAAACATTCAGAACTTAGAAAAGAAAAACTTTGATTCCTTACTAGTGGTAGTTCTCGTCGTGTTTGTGCTTAAAGATATTGGGAGCTTCATGTTATTGTGTGTGAATATTGGGGTTTGATTTGACACAAGTCTGGAGTTTAATGTGTTAATGTATATGTATTAAAGTTCTTAGGGAAGTGTAGTCACTATATCTAAATGTATCCTACCTGTCCTGCTGCCTACATTAATACCAAAATAAAGACCTACTTGATCTTTGACTGAATGAGCTCAATTAGTAGAGTATTACACTACGGGCAAGCATATGGTGCGTCTTCTGTGGCACATGAATTTTAATTTTGAGAGTAAGTAAATTCTTTCTATCTTGAGTTCGTATTTGTTCTTGAATTTTATTGTGTGTGGAACTACTCTCTATCTTTGGTGTGAGGGAACATGATTTGCAAAGGAAAGGTTATGTCTTTAGCCTCTGTGTCAGAATAAGTGAGCAAGTTTTTGGAAAATACGTGGTGTTTTTGAGTCGAGTCTTGAGGCTAGGATGTTATGATAGGGTACCTAGTCTACTTTAAATATTCTTGGCATGATGCGTTAGGGAAGTTGTCTGATGAGAAGGTCGTCTCTATGTGAAGTGCAGTTTGATTGGTCGAGGACGAGCAATGGTTTAATTGTGAAGTATTGATGGTAGGTTAGAAACTCGTGTTTTAGTCATAGTTTTCACTCTAATTACTGCATTTTATTTTTGTTTGAGCTTAGATGATAGTGAATTGCACTTATTGTGTGTTTAATGCCTTATAAGAAGTGATTCCAAGTTAAAAAGATAATTTGAAGCTAAATCGAATAATGTGGAGCTTTGATGTCTGAGTTAAAGTCTAAGGAATTAAATCGGGATCGCCTTCGGGGGTCGGGAGCCAAGTTTGGATGTCAAAAAGTGAAGAAAATGAATTACTCTGGAAAACTAAAACTGCCGCACCGCGTGGGGCGGCGCGACAGTGTAAATTAACGCTGCCTGTCAGAATCTACTCTTTGAACTTCCTCACTACCACAGCGCGTGGTGCGGTGCTAGGCGCGACGCGCGTGTACAAAATTCTCCGAGTATTTTTTCTGTTTCGGCTTGGAAAGGGTAGTTTCGTTCGGTCCCGTTCCTACATGGTATAAATACACCAAAAAGATGATTTTTAGAGGACTTTTGACCTTGGAAGCTTTTGGAGAGCATTGGAGGCTACAAGACACAAGATTTCATCATCTTTCCATAAATTCAATACGGGAGTTTGGATTGTAACGTTAGATTGATATTTTCTTACTCTTTCATTATATTTTTGATAACTTCCTCTATGATTATGAAGTAGTTTCCCTTAGAGTTTGACGGATATGGTATTTTGATGATATTTGTGAATTTTAACTCTAGTTCTTTGCTTCAATTCGTTTATGGAGCTTTGAATTATTACAACTTTATTCACATGTTTATTTAATCGAAAGAGTAATATTGTGGTGATTATCTTTGAATTATGTTGTTTGGTTTAATTCAGTGATTTTCTTAAGTAATCGAAAGAGCTTGTTGAATTGTTGATTAAATCAAGTTAGGAGAATATTCGAGAGACGTTTTTCTTAAGATTAATCCATTAACGCATGCTTGCATATTTTTATAGTGCTTATATTAGTTCACCTCGTAGAGTTAAGATTTAATCGAGAGAGGTGTCTTGGCTCCACGTTTGAACTAATCATCGAGTGAATTCGTGAGAATCATTAGAACATTAGAGTGAATTAATTAGAATTGGATCACAAATAACTATCTTGCACCTATCATGTCACGACCCTTATTTCTCCCATTGATTATTTCGGTGTTGCTCAACTCTTGTCTTTCTGTGATCAATTGTTACTTATTTTAGTTTTTATAGTTAATTTTAGTTATAAGTCATCCCAATCAAAGTGTTAATTATTCTGAATAGCATTAAGCTAGAAATTACTTGAACATTATTTAAATCCAATCCCCGTGGAGACGATAATTAAACTTTACTATATTTGACTAGTGAGCATCAATTTCGTGTTGTGTTTTGCGCTCGTCAGATATCTATTTTTTAGTTTTACATTGGTTTATAATGAAAATGCATAACATAGTTTATTTTTTTCTTTGGTGCTTAGTAATGTAATTTAATAGTACTTATTAGGTATACTTATTTTAGCATGAACTATATAATATTTTTAGATTATGTTAATTTTTATTATGACTTATTAATTAGCAATATTTGCTTTATGCAATTTTATTATCGTTGTTATTAAATATTTTAGTATAATGCTATGACGTATCTCATATTATTGTGTTACTTTCTTAAAAATATATTATATAATTGTATTTTACCAGGACTAAAAAAAATTTGGAGCACAAGTTATATATTTTGCGCTATGAAGACTTTACCGGAAAAAAACTAAAAATCCAAAAAAAATAAAAAATCCGAGAAGAAACAAGATTGAAAACCCTGACTTTGTTGGTTTTCAACTTATGTGGCAAGATTTGATTGGCACAGAGTTTAAGAAGAAAAATATGCCTTTTGAAACTTGTAGCCTTAAGCATGTCATGAGATTTATGTGGCAATAAAAGTATATTATTAAGAGTAAAATAAAAAAATTAAAGTTAAATTATATTCGAATATAAAAATGCATGGGTCATTCTTTATAGATCGGGCTAATAAAAAAATAGTGTTACATAAAATAGAATAATGAGAGTATCTATTTTTTTGTAAGTTTAACTTCTAGGTACTGACAATATGAATTAAGATTTATACCAGTAGATCATCCAAAAATAATTATACGTAGCCAATCATAATAAAGAGATCAGTAACATGAAACAATAAGGTAGATATCGAGTTAAAACATGATAAAGATACACATAGTATAAATTTATTCTGTTAGATGTTGTTTGATAAGTGGGATAAGGGAAAATAATCCCGAGATTAGATGCGAGATCATTTTATCCGGTGTTTTGTTGAATTGTTAAATTCAGAATTAGCAATTTCGGGATTAATCCATCTCACAATTGGATATTATTCTATCCCACATTGAGGGGGGGTAATAATTTTGGGACTAACTAATCCCAGGATAAATACTGAAATGACAAAGATGCCCTTCTCGAAAGCTCTTCCTCCAAAGTCTTTTAAACAATCAAAGGTTAAAATTGAAAATAAAATTTTATCACAACATATCTAGTATACACCTAAGACATAATTATATTATACTCCATATACTCATTTTTAGTCCAATAAACCAAATATCTCCCGATAAAAATATATTCATTATTTAATTCATATTTTATAATCCCGGAATAACTTGTTCTTAGTGTATGTAAGTTAAATATTTTTTCTCCAAATGGCTACTAAAATTATTTATGATGTTAGTACATGTAAGTTAAGTATTTTTTCCAAACTGGCTACTTACTGGATTATTTGCAGCCACACCTCCGTCAATCATATCAAATGTGCGTATTCTCCCTTGAGCATCCCTAGTCTCAAAATAGTGTACCGGAAAAAAGGTTGGTGCTGCGGAGGTACTGAGGCAGATGTCTGATAATAGAACATTCTTAGAGACATTTGCTCTGGCCTAGACACAAATTCAAATAACTATAACCCATCATGTTCATAAGGGAGAAAAATAAAACATCATATATACTAGTATATGTTTGGTACGACATTTAAGAAGAAAATGCTTTATATATCGTTTTCCGAAACATGTTTCAGTAAACAAACATATGCCAGATAATTTTCATGTAAAATGACTTTTATGGTACGAAACAAGAAACATACATCAACAGTGGTGAAGATAATTGGTTGAAGGCGCTTGATATCAAAAGCAGGGATGACAGTATGAGTCAATGTCTGCTTCATAGTAAGTTTGCCTAATATTGATTCAAGCAACAATCTTAAGTAGTTGCCATCGTACTTTGGTCCTCCAAACAAATTGAATATCCTATGCACGAAGCTGTTACGGCGGTTTGCGGGAAAGATGTGAGGGCAGTGTTCCATATAGAAGTTGGAAATATCTTTAGCTGCATATAAAGGGCGATTATCTCTGTTTGGAGCTGTGAGCATAGTAGTAATTAATCCACCTGTGCTTGTTCCTGCTACTACATCAAAATAGTCTATAATCCTTGCATTTCGTCCATCAACCTCCTATTAAACCCAACATAAATATAATTTTGGGTTAAGGTTAAAGAATTGTATCATTCCACGATAAAGATGAGGATGGATCATAGGATTGGCTAAAGAGTGTCTATATATCACAGACCAATGATTAATGAGCCTCCACACGCATAATTAAATTGTGATTGGCCTTATATTTTGTTTACAACTTGGGTCAATGTGCTAGCATTTTTAAGTAATACTAACCAATTAACGTAAGTCCAATATAATTTACCAAAAATGAGGTGAAAAAAAGTAGCTAACACAGTGCTAAATAAAGAACCTGAAGCTTGGATTCAAGAAAGGCAAGAAGGGTTCCTGGAATAATGCCTCTGATTCCACCCCCGTCAATGCTCAAAACTGTTATAAAATTCTTTCCTTTGGTAGCAGCACAAACAAATATTGGAGGTTGTACAACTTGAATGGTCACTAACAAAGTTAGTGAAACTAAGAATAATAACCTTCCCATAATGTACTATCAAAGTTCTATAGTGGAGTGGAAGTTTAGGATATATATGTTTCTTATAATTGAAAGATATAAGCAAAGTTAGAAAAAGGAAAGCAAATTAATGGCATGTTCTTTAGCTGTGCAGTTGTCAATGAAACTTGTCTCTTGTTTGGACTTTTGAGTGGCAATATGAACTTTATGGGGACCTTCACATATGATTTAATCCTCTTTTGTCGTACGTCTTGATTTTAAATATCTTCCATACCCGTGATTTGCTCCTTCATTGGCTTCACGTGACTTAAGTCTTTTAAATTTTCCAAAATGGTTAACTTCAATCTCAAACAGTTTCAACAGTCCATAAAAGATGGATATATGGATGGTTGTTCCAAGTGCATGGAGTAAACTCGGACTCAAATATGATAAGATTGTGTGTCGGATCTCATATTTTGGCCAAGTTGTGGCTAAAAAATAGGAGAGAAAGAAGTTGAACCTCTAACCAACCATTGTGGCTAAAAAATAGGAGAGAAAGAAGTTGAACCTCTAACCAACCAAGACACATTACTTCTCGTCGTTAAATTAAAAGGGCAACATATGGTATTTTCTTAGTCATTTATTTATTTAATTTTTTGGTAAATAAATTACCCCCGGCCTTTTACAATACAGACAACTAGGAGTGTACATAGGTCGGGTTGGTTCGAATTTTTCAATTACCAAACCAAATCAATGGTGTCGGATTTTTAAATTTATAAACCAAACCAATAAAGTCGGGTTTTTCAATCTCGGATCGGATTTTTTTGGTTTTTTCGGATTTTCGTTGTATTTTTCAGTAAAATAAGTAGCACAAAATATGTAACTTATGCTCCAAATATTTATTTTAGTCCTAGTAGGATACAACTATATAATGTATTTTTCAAAAAAATAAAATAATAATGTGAGATGAGTCATAATATTGTACTAAAATATTAAATAACATAGATAATAAAATCGCACAAAGAAAATATTACTAATTAATACACCATAATAAAAATTAAAATAATCTAAAAATACTATATAGGCCGTGCTAAAATAAATATAATTAATAAGTACTATTAATTACACAACTAAGCATAAAAAAAAAGATAAACTAGGTAATACATGTTCATTATAAATCAATGCAAAACTAAAAAGTAGATATTCAATACTATTGTCATTCCTAGTGTTGAATTGAATTTCCTTTATTAGCATTAGTATTGATTTGAACTTTATTTGACTTATTACTTTTATGGGCTATAAAATTTATTGGACCATTCAAGAATGTTAAGACCAAACTTTAAATAATACTTTTAAAGATAAAACTATGAACAAGTTTAACAAATATTTATAAATTATATTACAATAAATATTCATATGAGTAAAATATTTTTTAAATTTGTATAAATATAATGTCGGGTTGGTTTGGTTTCGATTTGACTTTTTTTAGTTAAAACCAAACCAAACCAAATCAATTACGGTGAAAACCAAAACCTTAATATGTGGAGAGAAATTCTAATGAAAATGACATCTTGCTTCCTTTTGGTTGGGGTCCAATTATCAATGGTTAACAACATTAAGAAAATAAAAATAAATTGTCAAACGTGGTACATGGTGGAGTTTATATTCGTTAAATATTAGTTGGTGAGTTTCATCTTAAAGATCTATTTGATTATAAGTCTATACCGACAATGATTCTTGTTTGAAGCGCAATATCTGTATCCATTTAGCTGTAATTGGACTGAATAAATAGATAAAGACATGACTAGACCAAACTATATCAGTAAGACAGAAGAATGACAACTTGGAATCTGGAGAGGCCTAATTCTTCATGAAATGACACGTTTACACTATCCTTTTTATTTTAATCAAAAGCCAACAAGACACAAATTTATGCAGTCCCGTGAACATAAAGCTTATATCCTTGTCCTTATAAGTTTATATATACACCACTATCTTGTAACAGGCAAATTCAATGAACTTTTTGAATTTGAGAGTTTAAGACATGCAATACTTTCAGGTGCTAGTAATTGAATTTGAAATTTAAAATTTGCATAATTAATGTATTTGTTAGCACATATATATAGTATATCGATCAGAACTATAGCAAGCAGAAGTTCTCAGTGTAAGCCTCACAGTAATCTATTATTAAAAATTTTAAATGGCAAAATGGTCTTCTGTCCATTTAAAATTGCACCGGATTACTAACCCAGTAAATAAACGTATGAGTTTTCCCGTTTAGCACCTCTACTTCACAGAATGAGGAGTAATAAACGCCTATTGACCATGCATATGTGAAAGAAAAATTATTGACATGGCCAAACTATGTGCAAATCACATTTAAATGGCGCGTGAATATAGTAATTTTGATAGAAAAATATTAAAATAAATAAAAATATATAAATAATAACAAAATATAACAAAGAATAAAAAATAAAAATTAAGATCCCAACACTTCCTTCCTCCCACCCCCTTTCCCCCATTCTTTCCGTTTCTCATCTCATCCCTCGACCCAACCTTTCCCCTCCGTCCCCTCTCCATTCTTTCCCTTATTAACCTTTCGTTGAAAAGGAATTACAACTTTTTCTTAATTGAGTATAAGGATCTAGAGAGAAGAAGGTAACTCACAACTCGATTTTCGGTAGAAGGAAATCGTCTCCAATCTAGTCATCACTCTGATGGTGATATTAATTTTGTGACGATGTTTTGGCGGCAAAAAAAAAAAGGCTCTCTTCTTCACATTTAAATGTTTGAAGTTTCTTTTTGGAGTATGTTTTTTGTCAACGAAGAGATTGATGGTGGTTTATGGCTAAGGTCACTATTACAAACTTTAAGATCTAGTCAATGCTCCTCTTTTTCTTTTTCTAAGAAAAGAAAAAATAAGCCGCAAGGGTGAAATGTCATTTCTGATTTGTTTGGTCTATGTCAATGGGCTTGGTGGGAAAGAGGTTTCAACAGAGATGGCGATTGAGGTAGTTGAAATCAAACGGAATAAGGTGTTTGGGCGAAGAGATGGCTAGAAATTAACAAAATGAGTAGGCAAAACACGGAGAGCGTACTATTTGTCGCCGACATATATATTACCAGTGAGTTCTCCGACCAACTTGAGTTTTTTGCTGGTTTATGAGCTTCTTATTGTCTCAGTTGTGGTGGAAGAGAAGAGAAAGAAAAAAAAGTTAAAAATTTGATAAATTGAATTTAAAAAAGTGGGACCTACAAATTACACATGTCAAATAATAAAAGGTTAGTAAAAGTATATCATTTTTAACATTAGAGGATTTTCTGCGATGCATTTTTTCTCTCACTGCATGTTAGCTTAACGTACGCATCCATGGGGAAGATGGCACGAATTCCATCTCAGAAAGCTCTAATGGCGCAAGCGTCATCATCGTTGGCAACTACAAATCAAGGAAGGAAAGAAAATTAAAGCAAAATTGATGTAGTAGTAACTCAGTCGCCGAGGGAAAAGGAAAATGTACAACATGAGGTACAATTGAGGGAAGAAAAGTCATATTCACATGTAAAAGTGCAAGAGGAATAGGCTAAAATAGTTCAATCGCCGACGAGCAGTCGAATATTTTCTTGGGCTGAGGAAGTAGAGGCAACAGAAGAGACAATGCAAAATAAATCAATTTGGGACGATTTGATATTGGGAAAATCTCGAACACCGACTTCAAATTGAAATATATCGCCCCTGAAACTCATGGTAAGTTTTCTGTTTGTGCAATTGATGTTGAAGATATAAGTTTAGAGCTAGAATATTGAAAGTCGGCAGTAGTTTGCTATGTCCTTGGGGCACACCCCCCCCTTTTGCTGTGCTAAATAGATACATACAGAGGATGTGGGCGAAGCATGGTATCAACAAAATTTCTATGCTGGAGAATGGAATTGTATTAGTTCGATTTGATTCCGGGGTGGG